GTTTGCTCTAGAAAGGGAAAGTCTTTTTGACTGCACCGACATCCATAATTTGCCTCGGAAAAATTGCACATAAAGTCTTATTTGGTGTTATCTAGCAGCATTGTCAACTGCCTTTTACAAAATCAATTATCCAGTTCTCACCCTGTATACAGGGTCAGTCAAATCTTCTCAAGCTTGTATCCCCTACAATTTTTAATATATCGTAACAACATAAATTTGTAAATATTTTCAGTCTTCCAAACCAACTCTTTAATTTTAATAAACACTGTCGAAAATTTATTTTTTCAAGCAGTTTTTCTTTAAAGCACGTATGAAAATTGGTACGAATAGGCCATGAGAAAAGCTTCAATTTGATATATATTCGAAAGTTCTTCTAGCTATATAGGGTATCCAATATAAAATAAGAACAAATAGGTAACTGCTTTTACATATTTCTGAGATTTTTTGTAAAATATGAAATTTTCAAGTTTAGGTTTATTTGAAAAGCGATAGAGACACATTCATAAGTTAATATTTGCTTGTCAGTTCAAGTATGGCATTAGAGTTTTACAACGACATTTCGCCTTTCAGCAACCATCATCAGTTTCATTTTTTTAAATGTAAACGTATAATTTTCGCGCCATTGTATTCTTTCAAATTAAATAATGTACAAAACGTAATAATCTAGTAGTGTTTCAGACCAGACAGCTCATCATTCTGGAGCAGATTCTACATCCAAAAATATGAAAACAAAATTTCTATAACTGTAGTTTCGTAAATGCTTCTTTTCTGAAATAGAAGGTGTCAAAGAAAATAAAGAAAATATGTTTTTTATTGATAATTTCTAAATTTTTCATTGGAAATCGTTTAAAGGGTCAATACATTTATGATAGTTTATAATTTGGTACATATAATCGATCGCATTTGAGAGCCAGCAGGGGCGTAGATATGGGGGAGTACTTATTGATTTTTGACCGGAAAATCTACGCCTCAGGTTTTTCTACTGGTTATAACTTTATTTTTATGAACCCATTTATTTTAGACCAAAAAGGTCCCTTTGCACATTTGTCATTTAGCGAGTGTAACTATGGAGAAATAAATGACCCTAATTTAAACGAATCCAATGAAAAATTTAGAAATTATCAATAAAAAACCTATTTTTTAATTTTTTTGACACCCTCTATTTCGAAAACTAAGCATTTGCGGACATACGTTTATAGGAATTTTTTACGTATTTTTGGATGTAAAATATGTAAAACATGAAATGTCAACATCATTAAATACAATTTTCTGAATTTGGCAGTTTACATTTTTTAACAATATTATTTCCGAAACTTTTTTACATTATGAAAAAACAAACGAATCTTTGTATTGGAATAAAAACTTCAAATGTTGGGACAAATATCTAAATTTTGTTATTAACTTAATTTAGTTCATGAAAGCTTTTAAATATGAAATTGAAAAAATGGAGTACCTACCTACCTACTAATATTTTGGAAGAAAACTAACATTTGCTTTATATGAGTTTCCCAATCGTCAGTAATATATTTGTACATTATTGTATTTGGAAGAAAATTAATAGTTTTGTATTTCAAAATTAAGCTGAGGATGATTACTGAAAGACGAAACGCCACAATAGCAACCTGATTCCCTATTTGAATAGCTAAACGAAAATGGACTAAAGAAAGTGTTTCGAATTTTATCGATAAACAAATTCTAAAACCAACAAACATTTTTACAATTTCTCTTAGTTAAAAAAAGTATGCTGTATTACTGTGCCACAAATGAATCTAAACATGTGATCTGCTAAACCGCTAGCGAAGTTCTCTACACATATATGGTAACACCACACCGGATGATCATATTTGGTTGAGCCAAATAAGGCCATGTAAATTCACACTTTTATTCATATGTTCAGGGTGATTCAGTCATCAATTTTAAGGGAAGATGGGGGAAAATGAGTAGGATACGAATACGCGATTAAAAAACTTTTAAAATGCATATCTAGGCTGGAAAGAAATATTTTTAAATCATTAATTAAATCCCTTTTCGGACCGGTCCTGACCGTTGAACTACAAAGATTTATCGAGAGTAAATCTTGACCGTACCGTATTAGTCGGTCACTAACCTAGTTTTTACTGCGTTTTTAATACGTAGTGAACGACAAGGAATAAAAAGATCTTTTTGAATTATTGTTTTCGAATGTTAGGTTATTACAATCTAGTGTTTTTAATATTATTAGCGTTTTCACTATGGTTTATAATTGAATATGAGATATTAACATTATGTTCTATTCAGTTTGTAGTACATACAGGGTGTCTCATGGCAACGGCCCATTATAATTATTTCAGAGATTACTTTGATTTGAATTTTGAAAATTTGGGATACCGGGCATACCGAGTTTAGTTAACTAATAATAGATAACTTAAAAACTAGAAGAGATAGGTATAGGGAACCCTGATACCGTTCGAAAGAGAATAAAATTGTGTATCAGAATATAGAAAAACATATATTAATTTAAAAAAAAACGACTTATGAAGGTTTGAAGTTAACTAAACTCGGCATTAAATTTCTAGCACCCTGTATGCAATTAAGCTACTTTGAAAGTATGGATGGGAAGCTTAGGGGTCTAGCTATCCCCCCTATAAATATTGTTGCTTTATCTTTCTTACTATAAAATTAGTCCAGTCGGCAGAGGCCGAAACGTTACTGTTGGTGACATTTTCTTGATAACTCGGAAATAACTACACAGGAATACTTTAAATAATGAGTACAATAACAGGCTAATTGGCTGACAAAGTATTTTATCAGGAAAAAAAGTTATTAACAATTTAATCGTGAAAATTTTTTTTTTAGTAGTTTTCTTTAAATAACTCAGCGGGATGACTGTACGAAAAAGTGCTTAGGACATGATTTTGTTCGTAATAAAAATAGCTACAAAATGGCGGTGGTCCGATTACGAAATTTGCAATAACAAAGCCCTGAGATTGAAAAAAACGGTATAAAACGTCAATTTTTTAAAGTTGCTATAAAAATGTCAATTATAAACAAAAAGTGATCAAACTTTCGAAAACTATAGTTCAATATATATACAATAATGACGCTAAAGCCGAAAATCAGGAGAGCAAAACTTTTTGTTCTATAAGGTTTTATACATCCATCGGCATCTGAAACTCGAAACTTTGCCAAATTTGTTTGAAGCTTTTCTGACACTTGAAATTTGCTATACACATAGTGTAAATATGCAGAAACCAAAAACAATTTGTAAAATTCAATTATCTTCATTTTTGCAGCTTTGGTAAGGTTTTAGACGTCACCCTAGATTTATACGTCACCGTTTTTTTAATTTTTGGAAAAATATATATGTATATTTATAAAATATTCCATGACGGTAGATTAACCAGCACAATTACCTACAATAAAAAAATAATAATTTTCATTGTTTAAATCCTAAGCTAAAGCTACTTAACATTTTGCGCCTGTTAGTCGTAGTCGTACATTATTCAACATATCAACATAAAACAAAATCGTACCTGTGGGGTAAACCTTTAACTTTTCATTTTCGAGCGCGAGCTCCGCTCTTCGGCGCTTGTATACTATTAGAAATATGCAACAGTAAATTTAAACAATTGTTTACTTAAAGTTAAAGGTTTACCCCACACGTACGTTTTTGTTTTATGTTGATATGTTGAATAATTTACGAGTATGGCTAACAGGCGCAAAATGTTAAGTAGCTTAGGATGTAAACGATGAAAATATTTTTATTTTTAAATTGTAGGTAATTTGGCTGGCTAATTTACCGTAATGGAATATCTATCTTATAAATATACATAAATATACGTCCAAAAATTAAAAAACCGGTGACGTATAAAACTAGGGTGACGTATAAAACCTTACAAAAACTGCAAAAATGAAGATACTTGAATTTTGCAAATTGCTTTTGGTTTCTGCATATTTACACTGTGTGTGTATCAAATTTCAAGTGTCAGCAAAGCTTCGAACAAATTTGGCAAAGTTTCGAGTTTCAGATGCCGATGAATGTATAACACCTTATAGAACAAAAAGTTTTGCTCTCCTGATTTTCGGCTTTAGCGTCATTATTGTATATATATTGAACTATAGTTTTCGAAAGTTTTATCACTTTTTGTTTATAATTGACATTTTTACAGCAACTTTAAAAAATTGACGTTTTATACAGTTTTTTCAATCTCACGGCTTTATTATTGCAAATCTCGTAATCGGACCACCGCCATTTTGTAGATATTTTAATTACGAACAAAATCATGTCCTAAGCATTTTTTCGTACAAAGTCATCCCGCTGATTTATTTAAAGAAAACTACTAAATTGTTAATAACTTTTTTCCTGATAAAATCCGTTCTCAGCAAATTAGCCTGTTATTGTACTCATCATTTAAAGTAGGCCTGTATAGTTATTTCCGGGTTATCAAGGTTTGACACAGGCCAAACCTCTACCAACTGGACTAAATACACGTGGTTTGAAGCTAGTCACTGTTTCTCTCTATCTTTTTGAAAAAAATTAAATATCTCGAAAACGGTTAATTTTAGGAATAGCGAAACTTCATAAAAGTCCACCTAGAATAACACGTAGAATCCAAAATTGCAATAATATGTAGGGTGTCCCATTTAAAATAAGCAAGCTGATGGCGACTTCCGGTATAACCGGAAGTGGTACGTGGACGCCATTATTTTAGTTGAGAAGGGCATGCCCGAAAACCCGGTATCCCAAATTGTCAAAATTCAAATCGAAGTAGTCTCTGAAATAATTCTAACGGACCGTCACCGTGCGACACCCTGTATATCTAGTGACTCAGTAAAAACAAAATATACACGCAAATACACCCTACACAAAGTGTTAACGTATGTTCAATATCTTTAAATTTTTTTTATGTGTATTGCATTGCAAATATATAAAACGTCCATGCAAATTTTTACAATTTGTATCGCACTTTCGAATGCGAAAATTTAAACTTTTCGATTACCAATTCCTCTTCCGATTCCAGACGTTAAAGGAGTTCCCCGAGGAACTGAGAGGCGACGTGTCAATGCACCTACACCGTGAAATATTACAGTTGCCCATTTTCGAGGCAGCGTCGCAGGGATGCTTAAAACTGCTATCTCTACACATAAGGACGAACTTTTGCGCTCCCGGCGAGTACCTGATCCACAAGGGAGACGCCTTGAGCTACGTGTACTACATATGTAACGGATCAATGGAAGTTGTGCAGAACAATATGGTCGTGGCCATCTTAGGTATGTAAACATTTGTTCCAATTTTAGAAATTAATCTGTAATTATTTATAATTAGAGTTCGGGGTGCGCTGCTCCTAAGAGAGTCGTACTCGGTCCGTTCTCTTCAGTTGTTTACTAGACGTTGTTCAAAGCGTTTGGTCGGTTGATTCTTTTATATGTTTGTTTTGTTCAGGGTGCCTAAAACTCGATAGTATGGGCCTGCTGTGAGGATGCAAAAAATTTAAATAAAATTTAGGACACGTGGTGGGATGAGGTAACCTCCATTTTCAGTCGAAAGTATAGACCAGGACGGATCTGTCGAAATATCCCACTTCTTGGATATAAGAGGGGGCAAGGTAATTTTTGGTGGAATTCCTTCAGTACAACTCACTTAATAAAAGTGTAGATCCTTAAATCTGGGCGAGGTCCGGAACATTTTCAAAATTGCAAAAATGTTTAAAACATTTTAAAAATACGTATTTTATCCTTTTTACTTATATCTTGGAACCTATGCATTTTGCAAGAATATTGAAGAGGAAAAAAGTTTTAGAGTTGAATTTTGCACAATATACTGTAAGTTAAAATTGTAACCTGAAGGATTAATTTTTTAATTATTATCTACCTTTAATTAATTATCTATTTAATTCTCGAAACGGGTTTATTATCATTATACTTTAATTAACACGTGGGAATTTAGAAATGTTGTATGTTCAGAGAATGAATTTCAAGGACTTACCATCCATTGCTTACGTAGGATGTAATCCAGCGGCTGGCTATACAGGGTGACACTGAAGTTGGAGAAACAAAAGGAAACACCAAAACTTCCAGGAAGGGTTTTAATAACAATAAACAAACCAGACAAACAAATAACAATACAACAGCTCGAACAACATTATTAATTGATTTATTTACGCGCGACAGCGTACCGAGATTCAGGGAATACGCGCTCTCTAGCAAAATTTTGAAAACCTTTATCCATTACTAAATTTAATTAAATAGCACGAGACTCTAATCTGCTCAATATGAAATCTAAGGAAGAACTGACTTTTTCTCCTAGATCTCTCCTGAATTCCACACTTCGCTTTGACACACCCATTTCTTGGGTCCAGAAGTTTCGGATCTTATCTTATTGGCGGGGACCTGAATATCGGGACGCTTGGATATAACTATACTAGGTTAATAATTACCTAATTGACTTGACTTGCATTTATATAAGAATTCTGAAACTAAACTTACTTACAAGTAACCCTAGCCTTCCTCTAGCGACTCCGTGTAGCAATTACGGGACGGATTAGTCGATCGCATTTAATCTACTCTTATAGCTTGGAAAATCCGTCAAAAAACCAGCTTATTAATATACTTTTCTTTTTCAATTATTATCAGTTTAACAATATAATTTAATTCTACTTTAGAATCTCTACGCTATTCTCGTGATTTCGCGCGTTATTAAAATATCGATTTTTCTCTTATACTAGACGTTTAACACATGGCCCCGACAGTTTAAGAGAACTTGTTAAAAATATTGGTAAATTTCTCCAAAGGACGACGCTATCTACTTGAAAGCCCTCAACTTTCGATAATTTGTGTTGACTGAAATATTTTAGTTGGCCCATCCGTTCCGAGAACTAATAAATAAATGACTGCGCGTCCCGGCTTTTGTTACAAAAATGTTTAAATTTATTAGCTACGTTGCAAAATAGCAATAATTGATGAAAAAAATGCAAATAATCAAGTTTTTTGGATAATTTTTTTAAATATTTTAATTGCCCCGAGGGCATTTTAATTTTGGTAAAAAAACTTTGAGTATAATAAAATAACACACCAAATTTCATTAAAATCGTTTAGATAGTTTTCGTAAAATAATGTTTTGAAAAAAAATTTGAAAAAAAAATTTTAGAATTTTCAAAATGTTGCACAGCCTCAAATAAAGCATCTAGATGCTTGAAAAATTTTTTACATGAAAAAGACCGCTCAACCTTTCAAATGGTTTTTGAAAAATTGAAATCGGTTGTTTGGGACAGACACAGTAAGTTTTTAAAGTTAGCACTCTTTTTTTTATTTTTAAATAATTAGATTACATTTATCAATTTGCAGTTTAGTTTTTTTCAAAAATTATAATTTTAAAGTACTCGGAAAGACGTTTCTTTTTTTTAAAAAAAGAACCGTTTATTGGTTCTCGAGATATGAGCGGTCAAAGTTTATCGGCATTTACCGTTAATTTATAAACAATTTAGCAATAATCTTTGATCCAATGGCTTTGTGTTTCCGAGTTCTAAGCTGGAAAAAATGTTCATATCCATAAGTTATCGGCAACATAGATAAATCAGCGGAAAAACTGTCGCTCGCACTCGCAAAAAGTTACTCAAAACACGAAAAATAGGGGAGGGGGCTTTCGCTCCGAGACTTATAATTTTTGAAAAAATACTAAATTGCAAATTGATAAATTGTTAAATTGATATTTTGAAATATTTAAACAATTGATAAATTGTTTAAAAATAAAAAAAAGTGTTAAATTAAAAAATTTACTGTTACCGTCCTAATCAACCGATTTCAATTTTTCAAAAACTATTTGAGAGGTTGAGCGGTCTTTTCTATGTGAAAAAATTTTCAAGTACCTAGATGAAGGGTCGGAAAGTAATATTAGGTGGGGTCCGGATACTTCTGAAAATTTTTAACGAGGTCCGGAAAATAAAAATCATATTTCTTACTCATTTTTTATTTTAATTTGCACTCAAATTTAATCTGCTAAATTAAGAAGTCAAATCAGTCATATAATTGTAAAATACTAGAAAAAATTATAAGTGTGGCACTCAAACGTAAAAAAAAATATTTTTTAAATAATTTATTTGAGTAATTTGTACTTTCAAAAAATTTTTGGGGGTCCAGTATTTTCCCTTCCGCGGTCCGGATCCGGACCGCGCCCGCGGTCCGCCAGTTGCCGACCGCTGACCTAGATGCTTTATTTGAGGCTGTGCAACATTTTGAAAATTCGAAAAATTTTTTCCAAAAAATTATTTTGCGAAAACTATCGAATCGATTTTGATGAAATTAGGTGTGTTGTTTTATTATACTCTAATTTTTTTTGACCAAAATTAAAATGACCTCGGAGCAATTAAAATATTTTTAAAAAATTATCCAAAAATCTTGATTATTTTCATGTCAAGGTTTTAGTGGGGTAAAGATCAATAAATAAAAGAACACTATATTTTAAATCATTGCCAACGTTTCGGTGTTATTTTACACCATCCTCAGGGCTCTAAAATACAAACAATGTTTTTAATCAAATTTGTTAAGGTTTTAAAATAAAAAAAATAAAAAAAACAAATACATATACAATAATTCTAAAAAATTTTAAAGAATTGTTTCTGTCACAATTACCATAAAACTCGAAAGAGAAAAATTCTAAAACAGCTCTAAAAATAACAGGTATTACTCACTCACTGAAATTTTAAGTGTCTTTTGTCCAACATTTTTAATAAATGTGCTGTATTGAAAAGTAAAAAATAAAAAATAAAAGGGAAAAGAAAGGGAAAAAGTAAGAGGAAAAAGAAGCATGATATCTACACACATTAGAATCAACGTATTTTTCTACTGTCATTCTGCTGAACTTTACAACAATTTTTACTGAGAAAGAAAACCGCATTGAAATTGTTCCATGAATTATAAGTAGGTACACATATAAGTATCCAGATATCATCTTCTTAATATTTAGAACTGTTCAGTTGGACAAAAGACACTTAAAATTTCAGTGAGTGAGTAATACCTGTTATTTTTAGAGCTGTTTTAGAATTTTTTTTTCGGGTTTATGGTAACTGTGACAGAAACAATTTTTTAAAATTTTTTAGAATTATTGTAAATGTATTTGTTTTTTTATTTTAATACCTTAACGATTTTTATTAAAAACATTGTGTAAAATAACACCGAAACGTTGGCAATGATTTAAAATATTGTGTTCTTTTATTTATTGATCTTTATCCCACTAAAACCTTGACTTGGATAACTAATTAAGATCGCAAAACAGTGGAAACGTAATTGATTATTTTGCCTTTTTTTCATCAATTATTGCTATTTTGCAACATCGGTAATAAATTTAATAGTATATTATTCAACGAGCGTATAATGATTATGATATTACACGGGAGTAGAATACTATACTTTATCTACGACTACTAAATATTTTTGTTGAAGTTTTTTTTGAAATGTTTCGAAAAACATGATACGTTAAGAAACAGATATACGACTCGCACAAATGAAGTCGCTGATGGCTCAGTGTAGATGCTCTTTCCCTTCCAACCGCGGGTCCCGGGTTCGAATCCGGTCTAGGAAAATTCAATTTTTTAATTTTTTTTTATATGTACAGCACTGAATTGAAAATATTTAGTGGTTTACACGATAAAATTTTAAAAACGGATTGTTTGTAGCAGAACAATATAATATTATAGCTAAATTAAGGAAGCATCTGACAGTAGTGATTAATGACTCATTAATCACTGCCGTGATTAATGGGTATTATTAAGGTCGAGGAAACAGACGTATAATGGGTACATTATACAATAGTCGTGGATAAACATTTTTAACTTACAGTATTATGCAAAATTCAATTCTAAAACTTTTTTCCTCTATTCTTCCAAAATACATAGGTTTCAAGATATAAGTAAAAACTCAGATAAAATAGGTATTTTTTAAAATTCATCATCATTTCAGCAATTTTGAAAATGGTCTGGACTTCACCCAGATGTAGGGATCTACACTTTTATTGTGTGAGTTGTACCATTATATAAGTAAATACTTATACAATGGTTGTACTGAAGGTAATCGAGAAAGAATTTGCTTGCCCCCTTTCACATCCACCTTAAAACAAAAAGCTCTCTTTTTTCTAATAAACTATTATTAGAGAAATTTTTCTGTAAAGTTATAAGTAATATTGTCCTAAAGTCTCAAAAGAAATCCCACCAAGAAATCACATTAGCGATGGAAAGATCAAACTAGTCGTTGGAAAATAAGTAATACAGAAAAATTTCTCTAATAAAAGTTTATTAGAAAAGAGAAAGCTTTTTAACAGGGAAAAATATTGGGTATGTTTCTGGAAAAAATATAATTGATGACGTCATTAGTCGTTTCTGTCAAAGATAATACATTCGATTGAAAATAGAGCGTACCTCATCCCATTTAACACCACGTGTGCCAAATTTAATTTAAATTCTTTGTATCCTCACAGTAGGCCCATACTATTACTACACCCTCTACATAATCTGCACTATTAGTCGAGGGAATAAGAGGGTTAAATACCAAAAGTGAAAAGAATAAATCGGGAATTATTTCAATTGTGGTTTGATAGTGGCCTCGAAGGTTATTATAAGTACTTACGTACCTGTTTTATAATTCTTGTGAACGAAGGACAACTGAATTAATAAGACATTTGAAGAACCATTGAATAATCTCAAAGAGTTTTATAAGACCTGTTAATATAACTATTGATAAACCTATATTTTTATAACAATAATCATAGCAGGCTAATAAAAGTAAAAAGTATAAACTTAACTATCTTCACCAGGCTATCAAAGCTAAATGATTAAAGCTATTTGAAAACTTATCCTATTTATGAATAATTTACTCTGTTATCTCTATCTAGCAAGCATAGGCAGCTTAATACAACAAGGGCTATTTAGATTCAGACGAAACGTTTTATAGGGGTTTTCATGGTGCCATGAATAACTAAATTTGCCTTAAATTATAATCGTTAAAACTGTTTTACTGATATCTGAATTTATAGTTGCTTGCAGTAAAATAAAATGTTTTACACCCATAGAAGATAGAAATAGAATTATTTTATAAATCACAGAAAAGTCTGCCGTGCAAGAATCGAAAAGATTTTTTCACGACCCTAATATAATTTTCTAAACTATTTGAAGCATTTATTATTGTTTAAAGTGACAAACAAATTTGGAGAATTTTTTAATTTGTATAAATTCCAACAATAAAAATTAAACTCTTACAAAACTCCAGCAAGAGAAAATCCGAAATGTTTTATGGAAGTCTGTAAATACATTTGGTTTCAGATAAACCTCATTTAAAACTAATTAATCTGCAAACATCATTTATAAAACTTTATAAAACAAGAACCAGACTAAACAAAATTTAAATTGTTTCTTGGGTAGATACGACCTTCTGGAAAGTTCGGACTGGTATATATATCAGGAGTTACCACCAAATGTACAGTGTGTTTCATAAATAGAAATAGATCACAGAACAAAAGTAGGTTTTAGATATTAAATTATTGTGATTTGACCAAACTTACGTTAACGCCAATGTTGATATTATAAGAAATAGGGTGTTGAAAAAAACGAAAATTTCTAATAATTTTTATTTGCTGGGTTTTTGGGAATGCCAAACTTAAATATTATATCATTTTGTAACTTTCTTATAAGGATCATCACAATATGGCATTTTTAACGTGGAGAAATTATAACTTCCTTATACTGAATCACCCTGTACAACACTATAATTTTTTTGTTTAACGCTAGGACAAAAATTAAATATAAAAATAATAATTTGAACATTTTTACTGAAAATTGCCATAGCTTGTGGAAATTCATATACAGTGCTTTCGAAAAGTAAATAATAAATTTATTATTTTTTAAATTGAGAAGTTTTCGAAAAAATCCCCTGGCACGTCGATTTTATTTTTAAAAATGGCACTTTTTGACGTACGACCCATATTTGTGACGTCATCGTTGTTCGAGATATGACGTCATCGACAATTTTTTTAAATAGCAACCCCCAATTTTGACCATGCCATTTGAAAGAGCGTGTCATTCTACATACACAGATCATTAAAAATTATGGTGTTACATAACAAAAATTTCAAGAAAATAATGTTTGAAGATTTTAAAATTTAATTTTCACAATACTGAAAATAATGATTATGTAAAAATCGACTAAATTAAATGTTCAAATTGTGCACCGTTGGCTGCCTGACAGTAGCCAAGACGATTAATAAATTCTTTTTGGATATTATCAATAACTTCAGGATGTATACGATGTATCTCATGGCGAATTCTTGCTTTTAAATCTTCTAAATTAACCAGTCTAGTAACGTATACTTTGCTTTTTAAGTATCCCCGCAAGAAATAATCTAGGGGTGTCAAATCAGGCGATCTGGCTGGCCACTCAATCGGCCCCCTTCTCCATATCCAACGATTCGGGAACAGCTCATCTAAATAAGCACGGATAGGTGTTGCATAATAGGGAGGTGCACCATTTACTCGATTTTTACATAATCATTATCATTTTCAGTATTGTGAAAATTAAATTTTAAAATCTTCAAACATTATTTTCTTGAAATTTTTGTTATGTAACACCATAATTTTTCATGATCTGTGTATGTAGACACGCTTTTTCAAATGGCATGGTCAAAATTGGGGGTTGCTATTTAAAAAAATTGTCGATGACGTTATATCTCGAACAACGATGACGTCACAAATATGGGTCGTATGTGAAAAAATGCCTTTCTTAAAAACAAAATCGACTTCGTTATGGAGGCGTATGAAATCAATGGTTTGTTTGTTAGGATCATATTAATACTCGAGCTGAATTATAGCTAGAAATTCAAATGCAGTGACCTATAAGAATGACGCACGACTTTTTAGAATTCGACAATCTATTTGTTAAAGAATTAATCGATATTTTAATTGAGTACGACTTTTTAGAATTCTACGATCAATGTTAAAGAATTAATCGATATTTTAATTGAATTGGTAATCATGTTGAAAAAGTTTGTTATGATTTAATGTGTCCCAACAGAAATCAGAAGGATTCGAAGCAACGTGGTGGCCAATACATGTCATTTTCTTTACGCATCCGGCGACTTGAAAAATGCGTGTTTGTGTAGTTACGGACTTTCGATAATAGAATTATCGCGAATCGCATTAATATAAAATAAATTGAAAACTGAAATAATAGATTTTATTTCATTAACTTTGTTGCAGTCGGTAACCTATTTGTCTAAATCGGATAACTTGAATTTACCTCATCCTTTCGACAACTTACACAGACAAAATTGTGACACGATAAATAGTAGTTTATGCTTTGAATCTCGATTGTGGTTAAAGGGTTCCACAAAGTATGAGAAATTTTAATAAAGTTGTTCAGTCTTTTTAAAAAATTTTTGAACTTTTGTTAAGAAGAAAAAGTTACAGAAATTTGTTTACAGCAAAGATGTTATACCTATAAGATAGTTTAAAAATGATGAGAATTAAATTTGACATTCCTTGTTACTGCATTTAAAATAGTAACTGTAAAAGTTACTGAAATATATATATTTTTTAATTTACTTTATCGCATCTCTCTTAATGTCAACATTCAGACAAAGGTTAACTGAAACCTTATCTGAACTCTAATTTTGCGTTTTTTCTCAAAAAAAAACTTATTCCACTGTCTTTTTAGAAAGGATATGGGTAAACTTTCATTACAACAAAAGACGATAGGCTCACATACAGGGTGATTCAGTTATAATGTCGTTAATTTTTACAACTTATTCGGAGGCCTAATAAAGACGGTAAATCGAAAAAAAAATTTTTCGACCTTTTAAAAGATAACTGATTTCCCCAGACAGACAGACGGTTTGAATTTTACAATTAGTTTCAAAAGCAAAGTGCAGGGACTTTATTAACAAAGTGCTATGGACGAATGAGTGTTGTTTTAGCCGTACTGGCATTTTAAATAGTAATAAGTCACATAATTAGGTAATATGTACTACAAACTGAATAATTAACTAAACAATACTAAAAACCCTGTTCAGTTATAAAAAATAATGAAAATGTTGATAATATTAAAAACACTAAATTGTAATAACCTAACATTCAAAAACGTATTATCCTTATGCATTTGTATTTTTTAACAAATAATACTTTTTAATATTTAAAATAATAATTTTTATCCTTCTACAGTTGTTTTCATTAACAAATAATAAGTTGTTAATATTTAAATGTAAAAAAATATGTTATTCATTCATGCAGTAAAAACTGTCAAGATTCACTCTCGATAAACCTTTTTGTGGGTCAGCAGCGGTCAAGAGCGGTCCAAAAAGGGGTTTAATTAATGATTTGCAAATATATTATTTCAGCATTTTAACATTTTTTTTAATAGCGTATACGTATTCCACTCATTTCTCCCTAACTTCCCTTAAAATTAATGACATTATGACTGAATCACATAAAGGGTACACGCAAGGAAAAAAAAATGTTTTTTATGTTTTTTCTAATCGATAGAATATCTACAGCTGAAAGCTGTGGAATATCTGTCAGAATTATGGTGCCTTTTTTTCAAAACAACCTGTACGCAAATGAATGACTATCGTCATTTGTTCATAATCTTACTGTTCCTACAATTCAATCAATATAAATTGACCCTCCCTTCTGACTGCGTTACAATTTTTATATCTCTTTTTAATAAACCGCACTGAATTACCGTCAGCGATGTATAAATGCTGACATCTAACGGTGGCACAGTATATTAATTAATTTGTGCGCTGACTGTCAATGTTATTAGAATTAAATTTTTTTATCAATGTAGTTATGGAATAATGAAGCCCTTTGCTTAAGAGTTCTCTTATTTCCAGGCAAGGGCGACCTGGTGGGCAGCGACATCAACATGCACCTCCAACTCCAGCACTCCTCGAACGGCCCGGGGTCGGAGGGCAACCGGGGCGGCGGCCAGCCGGACATCGTGGTCAAGTCCAGCAGCGACGTGCGCGCCTTGACTTACTGCGACCTCAAGTGCATCCACATGCAGGGCCTGGTGGACGTGCTCAGGTTGTATCCGGAGTACCAGCAGCAGTTCGCCAACGACATCCAGCACGATCTCACTTTCAACGTCAGGGAAGGCTATGAAGCGGAGGTAAGTAGTTTGAGGTGATTAAGTGGTGTTAATCAGTTTGTCGGAAGGTAGATCGAGCAATTTGGCTTGTAGCTGAGGGTTTGATGGATTAGTTGGCTCCGGTTAGGTCAGTAATCTCATTTATTTCGGGTCGAAGGACCAATTCCAGTCAAAGCCACGTTGATTGGCTTTGGAAAAAATTGATTTACATATATATTGCCCTATTTTTGTATTTAATGTATTTAATAGGTTCCGTGCTAGAACTACTTTTGAAGAGAGCTTTTAAAATTCACGTTTTTAAAAGCTCGGCGCTTCTAGGTCAAATAATTTAAATGGAAATACACAATGTTTCCAATGTTCAATTGAACTAGGAAAGGGAAATATTATTCTATGCAAGTTTCCCACAGGCCCGAGATAGAAGAGACCTGATAAAAATATACAGGATGTTCCACATAAGAGGGATTCTTCTGTAACTCTGCAACTGTAACTTATAAAAAAAATGGTTTTAATAAAAGTTGCCTGGATTCATGTGGCCCATGTAAAGAAAATATTTTTAGATTTCGCGTGGACGCTACATAATGTTATTTTAAATGGAACACCCTGTATTGAGATAAATCAAAATTTTAAGTTTCAACATTAGGATTCAAAGTTGATTAATGTCAAAGGATGACAACATACAAGTCGATACACAGGTTTGAAATTAAGATGATAGAAAGATAATGGAAATATAAAAAAAAATAAAGAAACAATAATTCTGGACATTAATAAAAATTTACGAAATTAAACTATAAAAAAATCTGTACATAGTAGATAAGAAATAAGTTAAGTGGAATAAAAGAAAGCAAGATAACGTTTTAAAAATGTGTCCTCTAAAGGGTAACTAGGATCAGGAGAAAAACAAAAGAGAAGAGGAATTAGAAATTAGTTACATAAAAAAAGGAAGGTGGAAGAAAAGTAAAAAAATTGAGAAATAAAAGGAAGGTAGGAGAATTGAAAAAAGTTGACAAAATTGTCTGCAGGTTGTTGTTTGAAGGAGACGTTAAAGGAAATTTTCTACAAATTGGATGTAATAATATGTTCCTGAATAGAAGCCACATTCAATATCCACAATTTTAAAGAATTAAACCAAGGATTATAAAGAAAGGTACCTCTTTCATTATAATGCAGTATAAATTTCAAAGATAGAATTGACAGTTTTGTGCACATTAGAAATAAAATAACATAAACATTACAGATAGGGAAGATTTGAAGTAAAGACTTACCTGAATAATTATCGCAAATTTGATAACTAAATGACCTCTTAAACATCTCAGTATTATGTTGTGGGGGAGTTAGAAGACCCTTATATCTTATATTAATTGTATGTACGTCCGTTCTAAATTTGATCTTTCTATATAGATAAGGCGGTGATTTATTTAAAATAATTGAATGATATAAACAAGCTGCATGGTGTAATTGTCTGTTTTCCATATTAAGCCATTTCACTTCTTGAAGTTTGTAGGATATTCTTTGATTTTTCCGAATTCCATAAATAAATCTGAGGCAAGAGTTTTGTAACTTTTGAATTTTACGTTTATATAATGCATTGATGCACGGTCCATACAAAACATCAGCAAAATTTAATAGTGATAAAATTAAACTTTCACAAAGCATAATTTTAGTTTCAGTAGGCATACAATGTCTATTAGTATATATTGCTCTTAATACGGAGTATCCTTTTTGTATAGTTTTATCTACATATTCTTTAAATCTAAGATCACTATCAATAATTACACCAAGACTTTTGACTTTATCTAATTTTGGCAAAATGGACCCTTGTATATTAATATCTATTTGATTTTGCACAACTAATCGATGCTTCTTGGGACCAAATATGATGACGTTAGACTTTGATGTATTGATTAAGAGACAATGGTCTTTAGCTTCATTTATAAAATTATTCAAATCATTATTAATACGCGCAGAAGCAATATCTATCTCACTAGGAGAAAATGAATAATATATTTGCGTATCATCCGCATAAAGATGTATGCTGCTAAACTTTAATGAGTTTATTAAATTGCTAGTATAAATGGTAAAAAGAAGAGGACCCAGAATTGACCCTTGCGGTACACCTGACTTTAATAACAAAGAATGTGACATACTATCATTTAATCGCACTCTTTGAGAGCGATTCTGTATATAATTTTCAAACAGCATCAAAGCATTATTTGACAAACCTATATATTTAAGGATCGCAAGCATAATGTCATGATTTATTGTGTCAAAGGCTCTACTGAAATCCAATAAAACTAATATAGAGCAAAGACCTTTATCAGTTGAATTTATAATGTCATCAACTACATGTAAGAGCGCTGTTACACAGCTGTGACCAGCTCTAAATCCGGACTGAATCTCAGGAATTAGTTTATTTGCTTGCAAATGTATCCGTAACTGTATATCCATTACCCTTTCGATAACTTTTGATATGGTTGGCAAAATACTTATGGCACGAAGGTCCTTAAATTCCTCAGGATTACTTTTTTTTGGTAGCACAGTTATCACAGCACTCCTCCACAGAGCTGGGAAGACAGATTCAGTAAGACAATAATTAACAATATGTGTTATGTATGGAATTACTTCAGGAATAAATAATTTTAAAAAGGTTAAATTTAAACCATCGCACCCTGTTGCATTTGTGGTAATTTTATGTAATATTTTACTTACATCACATTCTGTGACTGGATGAAATGTAAAGTTCGAATTATTTAAACGGCTATTGTTATATAAATTTAGTACTCGTTCTGGGGTCTCCACAGAAGGAATAGAATTAACAAAAAAATCGTTTATTTTATTTATATCGCTTAGATGACCAGGAATGTTAGAAGATTTATTTGGTATAAAATTATTTTGTTTAAGAAATCTCCATCTTTCTTTTGTACTAGAATGCTTTATTTTATAATTAACATATGCCTTTTTTTCTTGCTTAATAGCTTGAGTTGTGTAATTACGTAAATCCTTGTAGTATTGCCAATGTGCTTCACTTTTAGTTTGTTTAAATCTATTAAAGGCCTTTTTCTTAAGTGATATCATTAATTTAATATTGTCCGTTATCCACGGTGCAGGAGATTTTGTGAACCTCTTTGTGATAATAGGCGCATGAATATCAAGCAAATGAGTAAGATTCTGTACTAAAAAAGTAACTTTGTCATCAACATTTCCCATATCAAATATATTATACCACGGAATATTATAAAAATCTGCAATAAGCATATCATACTTAACATTTTTTAGGTTTCTGTATGTACGGAAGATTGGTACATTTTTTACCACAATCATATCTATGATGCAATATGTTAGGAAATGATCAGATGTATTTGTTTCAATTACATCAGCATCTACTACATTAATTTCTTTAGAGACAATGATAAGATCAAGCAATGACAATTTTCTAGTTGGTTTATCAATTATTTGTTTCAAATTAAAATTTTCGAATATAGAAATCAGACTATTGACACCTACTGTAGATATATTATATACCACATTTCAACAGAACTGACCCCTGATTTTTTAAGCTGAGTATTTTTTTTTCTTAAATTAAATTAAAATAAAATAAAATAAAATTTTATATCAATCTTAACAACTTTATTATAGTAAGTTATTGCATTTTTGAATTCCTTGGTTAATATTATGTCGACTTGATTAAATTTTAATGTGCATGGTGTTTAAAACTTACCGTTTTCGAGATAATCGGTTGTTTTTGAAAAAAATCACGATTTCAGCTCTTTAAATGAGTCTAAATGCAGTTTTCACAGTTCGTTTTGGCATTAATTACTCTATCTTATCATCTGTGAGCAAAACGCGTACGTTACTCAGACTCGGAAATACTTAGAACTACATTTAAAATCTTACGAGTTGAAAAACTTTTTTTTTTCAAATGGAATGGCCCATATTAATTGTCATGGGTGAATGAAAATGAAATAAAATGAAAATGAAAAAAATGAAAGTGAAGTACCATACTTATCTCTAACAGTTTTCCAGAAAAATCAGGTTCTTTTCTAAAATCTGAAAAAGTACTTGGCAAATATCAACTTTTTTCTTAGTTTTCCAAAAATTTTCATCTTAAAATTACAAAATTATGAAATTTAAAAAATGGAATGTTAGTATCAAATCAAAGTTTAACTAGGTAAACCACGAAAAAAATAAAAATAAAAAAATAAAGTAAATTATATACATATAAAAATCATTCAGTACTATAAAATTTACAAAGAATGTGCTGCTTAGTGACGAAGATACAAGAGACAGCAACTAAAGACTCTTAAGTACTTATTTAGCAAATTTTTCAAAATAGCATCCCAAACGACATAAAAAATGTATTTTTCTTGCCAAAAATATCGCTAGCAACTAATTCCTATGATTTTTTACACCTACTTTCGCTGAATCTTTAATTTAAGCAGTGTTCACTTTCACTATAACATTTCAGTAAATCTAAACTTTTTCTTGAAAATTATCTAATTAAAGTTAATTAAAAAATTATAATCTAATATGTACATTTACACGATCAAACAAGCAGTGGTAGTGCGGAGTTTCCTAAATAGAAAAAGTATGTTTTCTAAACAACAAAAGTCCTCCTCCACAGCATTTTTTCGAAAAAGGATTCATGTGGCATTGTCCTCACTACAATAACCATTCAAAAGCGATCTTTAAATGTAATAGGTACTTCAAAAGGGAATGACATTTAAATTATTCCAAGACACAACGAAATTCTGCTATGTTTTCGTACTCCCGTCATATTTTAATTTCAAATACTTCAATATAAATGAATTTCTAGGTTGTTTACCTCTTCATCTATCGTCTCGGTATTAAAAAGAAATTAGTGAAGCTGAATCGTCGAAATTGAATTAAAGGCACAACAATGTCGTCCGTTGCTCCCTCTTTGCACATTATTGCGTTTGGAATCTTGAATGCCACGGTTTGTTACAAGTTTACTACTTTATTTTGCTCTCAAATTTTTGCTTATTTTTTTTGCTATGTTTGAAATT